GTAAGGGAAGATGTGCAGGAGTTTGCGATGGTGATCAGCTTGTTGGTGAAGTAAGTTTTGAAAGAGGTGGCAAGTTTCAGTGAGGCCAGAGGATCGCTAAGGTGAGGGACCATGGTGCTACAAGGATGTAGAAGATCCTTGAGAGTTTTCCAAAGGATGCGTGGTTTTCCAGTAGCTGTTTTGATGCGTTCTTCAATGTAGGAGGAATGTGAGGCAAGTATAAGTTCGTTAGTTTTCCTGCAGGCAGCTCTGTAGGCAACTCGATCAGCAGGAAGACCACTGCGTGACGCAATCCTTTCAAAGCGCCTCCTGATTCGCTTAGCAAGGATGGCGTCTCTTGAGAGCCAGCAAGTGTCGTGGGAAGGCTGCCACGTGGTTCGCGGTTTTAATGGAGCCAGATTGTCCAGTGCCGCCCTCAGGTCAGCTTCTAGTTGAAGAGCGCAGACTGTTGGATCGGATGATGGGGATAACATTGAAGGCGAATTTGCGAGGAGGTGCTGTAGAGTGGAAAACTTGATACCCTTGAAATTACGGAATTGGCAGGTGATTTTGATGGTGATTGGATTGGGAATTGGAAGGGGAAATAGCATGAGGTGATGGTCGGAGCAACCAGTTTGGAAAACTCCCAGTGCAGTGATGTGTCAATCCTGTTCAGGTTCCAGAACCAGGTCGAGCATAGTTTCAACATTTGTTGAGAAAGCTCTGGTGGGGCCTGAGTTGGTGATGACCAGGTTGTGGCAGGCTAAGGTTGACTCGAGGTGGCTATCAATGGAGGCTGGGGTATTTTCAGGGCAATTAAAGTCTCCAGTAAGCACCAGCCTGTGAGATGGGTTAGGAATGAGTTAAATAAATTTGGAAAGCTCGTTTAAGAAGGTAGTGATGCTGCCATCTGGAGGGCGATAGATGGAAATGAGGGAAAAGCACTCGATGTTAGTAGTGAGGGACACGGACTAGACCTCAAAGATGGCGGGAGCCATCGGTAGATAGAAATCTTTAATTTTCAAGTGTGCTATGTAGACGACCGCTAAGCCACCACCCCTCTGGTTAGTTGGGTGAAGTTTGTGAAGAACCTTTTATCCCAGGGGCGCGACGTCCAAAGAGATGGCTGGCGGGGAGTCTGGCCTGCATCAGGTCTCAGTAATAAGCAAAAGATCGATGTGGTGGGCAAAGATGGTATCGTGAATTTGGGCTGATTTGTTGGTAATGGAGCGTGAGTTAAGTAGGCCGAGGCGGATGGGTAAGGGTGGATGTGAAGATCCGAAGAGGGGTGGCGTCGAGAGATCAGAGAAAATAGCTGGTTGAAGTTTGACCTGTGAACAGCGGCCCCTACCGCCTCTGCAACCACGGTGCCGATGCAGTCTCTGACGTTGACCTCGAAGAAGCCCGAGGCCAGAGAGCATCCTCAGGAGCGCGGATTCCAGGTGCAGGTGATGAAGAGATGGTGCATGTCGATGCCCTATTATATCAGTCCATGCTGTATCGGTGGTGGTGATGGGGGGACCAGAATTCCGGTGGACTCCGATCAGTGACTGCTGCTCAGAGCAGCAAGTACAGGTAGTGGTGTCCAAAATTGGAAGGTAGGGTGGAAACATCACAGCCAGTTATGACTTAAACTGGTTAATAACGTCCATCTAATGATTGCTCAGTTTGTACCCATATTCTCGGTTGAAATTGTGTCTGTATCTAAAAAATGATGGCTTCATGAATGAATCTTTGTTGATAGCCAGTGGGCTTGCAAAGTACCTTCGTCTTAGAGAAATCAATTTCGTGTGAGCCCACCGCATTAAAACAATGATCAGCCACGGCTGAGGTGTTGGTCTTACCGTGTTTCAGATCTGCCTTATGTTCATGAATACAGTCCGAGACATGTCGCTTAGTTTCCCCAATGTCATTATTGCCACAGACACAGCTTAGTTTGTAGACGCCGGGGTATTGCAAGTCAGGGATCATATCCTTCACAGATGGGATCAGATCACGAATTGTATGTACAGTACTGTGTTAAATCGAACCTAGATCTTGTGTTTGCTCATGATTTTGGAAATAATTTTAGTAACCCTTGCCATGTATGACGAGGTTGGGTCCCCTTTTTTTCTCCTGATGATGATTGCTTGTGTTGCAATCGAAACGTCGTAGTTTTTTGTTATTTTTGTGATTTTTCTTTAAACTTATCTACGTGACTTTACCTAAAGACCCAAGAATATGAATTGCTGCAGTCACGAAAGCTATAAGTCAAGATTTAACCACCTCTATGGGGAGGGTATCCACACAACCATTAGATCTTTTAACAAACTTCGAGATAAGAAGGCTCATCTGATTGAATCGCTCACATTTCTGAAGAGATGCCGCGACACTCAGGTAATACCAATCGCCTTTACACTGACATCTGCTGCTGTCACTTTTCTTAATGCTAAACGGATCTTGTTCAGGGCTGGCCTAGCCCTGATCTCAGAGAGAATAAGATTGCTCCGATTTGAACTAGACAATTTAGACAAGACTCTCCTGAAATCACACTTAACATTGATGGAAAAATATCTACATCTGATTGGAAACATGTAGATTACATTACAGCCTCTTCAGCTGCCTCAATGTCAGCTAAATGCAAAGATAACCTGATTTCCAAGTTCAACCTCCTTTCCAAGAAGAAGCCAGATTCACAAATCAAAAAGTTAGACACTGACAAGATTGTTATCAATCAGAGTAACAGTCCAATTTCAGACAGCCTAAAATCGGTTATAGCCAAAGGGTTGAATTTCGCAGTCACCCCTAAACACATCCCAGTTGATGATATAATTGCCCAGGTCGACGTAGCCCTTAAGGGTTTGAGACACATTACTGCAGACGTGGCAAGATCGGAAACCGCTGCAATCCTAAAAAACGCTAAGACACCTATTAGCAACATCAGGAAAAATGAGCGCTTTGAGCTTCCTCAATAAAAAAAGGGATGACATCGTCATGCTCTAAGCTGACAAGAGCAATGCCACAGTCATCATGGACAAAACCACATGCAATAAGAAAATTCAGGACCTACTGTATGATGGCAGCTATACCAGCATTGAAAGAGATCCCAACCAATCGCCTCGTTACGAAAACCAACAATATCATCACTGATTCGACATCTTTGATCGAACCAACAAAGCGGTTTTCCTTAAAACCCTCTGCTGCTAAACCACCCAGATTGTATGGCTTACCAAAAATCCTTAAAGAAGGGACACCCCTTCGTCCTCTCGTCTCCACCATTGACTCACCCACCTACAAACTGGCCCGATATCTGTCTGAAACCTTACAACCATTCACTGGTAAGACCACCTCAGCTGTATTCAACTCAGCTCACTTGGTATCGTTAATTAAGGACATCTCACTATCTCCAGGTGATTTGCTCGTTAGGTTCGATGTGGTCTCTTTGCCAAAGTTCCTGTACTTGACACCATTGCAATCATTGAAGATTTGGTCCAACAAGGACTGAATGCTGATGTACTGGTCCTGGTGAGACACTGCCTCACCAACACTTACTTCACCTGGAATGGAACATTCTACAAACAAGTTGAAGGTACCCCAATTGGTTCTCCCTTATCTCCAGCTTTAGCCAATATTTTCATGGAAAATTTTGAGACAGATGCCATCCAGGCATCCACTCTACGTCCGTCCTTTTGGAAGAGGTATGTAGATGACACGTTCGTCATCTGGTCATATTGCCAACCAGCACTGAACCAATTCCTCAACCACAAATTCCATACACCTTGCCATCAAATTTACCATGGAGGTGGAAAGGATGGTAAGTTACCATTTTTGGATGATTTAATTGAAAAAAGACCAAATGACTCAATGGGACACTGTCTACAGGAAAGCCACCCATACAGATGCTTATCTAAAACCTGACTCCCATCACCATCCATCCCAGAATAATTCCCTCATCAAAACTCTACACCATAGAGCTCGATGTATTTCCACCCGTCATCACCTAACCAGTGAACTGGAACATGTACACCAAGCTCTCAAGATGATATTCATGCCACACAATCTGTAAAGCTATCACCCAACCGTTGGGAAAGAACCATCTGAGGACCCAATCAAAACCATCACCTTGCCATACATAGCTGGAGTCACTACAAATATTTCCAAAATCATGAGAAAATACAAGATCCAGGTTCGATTTAACATAGTACATAAAATTAATGATCTAATCCCATCTGTGAAGGATGTGATCCCTGACATACAATACCCCAGCATCTACAACCTAAGCTGTCTGCGGCAGTAGTTACATTGGAGAAACTAAGCGACATGTCTTGGACCGTGTTTGTGAACATAAGGCAGATCTGAAACACGGTAGGACCAATACCTCGGCCGTGGCTGATCATTGTTTTAATGCGGTGGGCTCACGCGAAATTGATTTCTCTAAGATAGTTACTTTGCAAGCCCACTGCCTATCAACAAAGATTCGTTTATGAAACCAATCATGTATATAGACAGACAATTTAAACCGAGAAGATGGGTACAAACTGAGCATTGGAAGGACGTTATTAACCAGTTTAAGTCATAACTGGCTGTGCTGTTTCCACCCTACCTTGCGAGTTTAGTCATTATTTTGGACTCTGGTTTTACATGAACAGGTTAAATGTCTCACTAACTGAGCCACCGTCGCTCGTGTCCTCGATGTGGTGGGGCTCTGCGATTTTACATTAACATGCTAATTAATATCTCAATACAATGGCTATCTTCGTGGAGGTAGCTCTCCGACCTTACATTTACATGCAAATATCTCACTAACATCGCTAGCCCCACTCACTTCATTTGACCCTTGGGCTACACCCATTTCAAACTTTTAAAAACAGCCCGCCTCGGCAGCTTTCCCACCTTTTTCTCCCAATGACGAAGTTATTTTTGCCATTTTTCTTCAAACCTATTTACGTGACTTTACCAAAAGACCAAAGAAAAATAATTCCTGCAGTCTCTGTTCTCTGTTCGTTTGCCACGAGCTCAGCTTTTTTTTTTTTGGGGGGGGGGGGGGGGGGGGGGGGTCACTTCCGAGTTGCGTTTTCACATCAATTCCCATCGCACGCTAAATTAGATCACCAACTCCTGGAGGTGGCCACTCGCTCTATACCTTTGTTTCCACCAACGTTTGGAAAACGCGTTTTAATGCCCAGTGAATGACTTCGGCTAACGTGCCATTCCCCTCAAATATCAATAGAATATTTATCTGCACATCGTCAACACAGCCCCTTGCCATGAGGTTTGAGCATATATTTAACTTGAGTCAAAGGCTCTCAGTCTCAAAAACCTGCAGACAAGGTTACTTCATAGTTAGCCTTTCCTGGAACTTGATTTTTTTTTTACAGAAGAATGAAATATTCCAGGGAAGTATCCGTTCTCAGGGCGCTAATAACTGGGCATCAAATGCCACCTGTTTTGGACCGCCTATTCTTTTTTTATGGAAGAATTAAATACTTTGCATGATGTACCGGTTTTTGGAGAGCTAAAAATTTGGTGTCAATGCCACCTACCACCGACCTGATTTTAAACAGCAGAGAGCCCGATTCTCCTAACATGTGAAGACAGTGCCACGCTAGTTGCTTCTTTTGGGTCAAGCAAACCTAGCGATCCATGAAGCCCACCGACATTGGCAGTAACCCAATTTTCATCACGAGAAGAACCAACCACAACAGCTCGCTGGTTCCCAACTTCACACGCACAATTCACCAAGACCAGGACCAGCTTGCCACCGATTGTATTATTCATCATATTTTTAAAGGGATTTATTTCGGTTTATCAGCAAAAATGGGCCGACCACAGGGCCCCTTGGTGAGGAACACGCACTCCTGGAACGGGGCATGGCCGGCCACGAGGATCCTCGTCCACGCAGCCATGAACGCTTGGAAGTCCACGCTGGCGCTTTGGTTCTCGTGAAGATCCCCCATGATCTTGCGCACTTCATCCGGGTCGCAGGCGCCCTGCAGTCGTGACAGCGAACAATTTCTGTTGTTACAGGCAATGCACCATCCCCTCTACTCAATGCTGCATCAACAGCAATCAACATGCTATGGTGGCCATCATCAGCCCAGTCGCAATAAACCTCTAGCAGTGGCTACACGCGCTCAGTTGTCCGAGCCACGGACCCAGCGCCGTCGAGGCTCCAGTCCGCGCGGGTTCCCGCAGTGCGCGGTCTCCGAGCAGTGACTGCGCGAGGAAAAGCGGTCACGGTGACGCGCACGGCTCGAGTAACGCGTGGGCAGTGCCAGCGCGGAGCCCGCAGGAAACCCACCGCCAGGTAGGGCCGCATGTGCTTCACGAGCAGATTCTGCAGCGCGTGCTTCCTCATGGAGACGCTCCCCGCGCCTCCTTCACAGTTGGCGCAGAACTCGCACACGAAGATGTCCATCACAGCGCTCAGATCCTCCATGGCGGTGGCAGACGAAGACGAGCACAAGATGCTTTGGGGGAAAGAACAATACGACCAGTTTTGACCTTGGACTTGAGACAAGTGCTGTTAGCGAGCACCTATTAATGCCAGCAAAACATGGGGGGGGGGGGGGGGGGGGTAGCCAGCACTCGGGCTGAACGATTAATCGATGTCATATCCAAATCGCAATTTGAAACAATGCTGTTAGGAAATCGAAAATGCTGCAATTTTTTGCGATTTGAAAAGTCCTACTACTTTATTGGAATCGTTTTATTATTACAACTTTAGCAATTGTTCTATTTCCATTGAAACATTTTAATATTTACATGTTGGAAGCAATTCATATTTTTAAGTTCTCATACTTGCATTAGAATATGTAGGAGTAGTTCATGTTTTGACGGTATCATGTGGTAATGCTCCACCACATGTTTATATCCATTTACACAGCGAATATTGAACTTAAGCTTGACTTTTAAAAATGCAATCGCAAGTCAAATCGCAATCGGTCAGAAAAATCCCATTAGATAATTTTCCCCAAATCGTTCAGCCCGAGCCAGCACTACACCCGGTCACCTTGGTTTCTTAAGCAGGCGAGGTTTAAAACCACACCACGTCTTTATTTTGCGGCAGTCGACCAAGGGAACGCCCAGGACTGGTTAATACTTTGCGGGTGTTGGCTCAAAGTGGGTATCCAACTCGAGTAGCCGGGTTCATGATCCCAGTGCACCAACCACTACACTACCGCTCTCATCATTGCACACGCGTATACAGTACACTGCACACGGGTTAAACTCTACGCAGCAACCCTCCACAGGACACGAGTATTGCTTTCAGGAGACAACAGCCGCGAGACAAAACGGCTTGCTAACAGCTGCCTTCATCTCGCCCCAACGCTCGAGTAGAAGCAGCGCAGAGAAGATTCACAGCGAGAAATCCGCGATGCCGTCTCCACGAGGCCCCCTCCGTATTCAAGATGCCAAGAGACGAAACTCACCGCGATGTAAAGGCGCAACAACAAAGACGACGATGAGCAACCACGGACTCCCTCTCGCGGGGGTGGGGGGGGCATTAAATCCTCACCTCTGCTGGTGACGTAACTCATCATTGTATACAGGTGTGTTGTTGACGTTAATAATAATTATTATATTGACCTATTGTGTTGATGTCACATGGCTCATCGAGTCTCCGTGTGCGAATCTAACCAATCCAGTGCATCCACTCATTCAGCCGAATCCTTTGGGCGTGCGGGGTAATGATGATGATGACGAGGAGGTTGGCTTAGTTTGTCTCTCTCTGTGATTTTCACCATTGTCGTGAAGATGCCACTCACCGTTCTTTTACCGGGACGAGTTACGATTACTTTTAAATGTATCATCTACTTGAGCCGATTTAGGCAACAAATAACTCAGTCAAGATTTATTTTAGTGGAATATTTTGCATTTCTCGTGACGCAGTTGTTTTTGTACAGATTGCTATTTGCTTTATTCTATAGTTTAATCATTTTTCCTGTCATTTCACTGATCCAGGGCACTTGCATATAAGACTTTATCCGGGTCTCTTGGAGTTTTCATCTCGCCTGGTTAAACAAAATACATTTCACTTTTCTAACGTTTAGATTCCTGCTGTGTTGATTGACCATACTTCACTGTGGTAAATCAGTGTTGGTGAATGGGATGAGGGGCGTGGGAGGCATGACCGTTTCAGTTGTTGCGTCATGCCCTTTCAATAGGAATACAGATCTCGCACTCTATAGCCCCTCTCATAGACACTGCACTGCGATTGACGCTTTGCGGCTGCACTTCGAGTGGAAATGAAGCAGCGCTTTGAGCAGTGGAGCCACCGGTGTTGCGGGGAATATCGCAACCCGAGTGCGGCCTTTGCTTTCCGCAACAAAATGTCGAAATCATTCGCCGGGAAACGAATGCCAATTCACACGCCAGATCCGCAATATCCAACCCATTTGCCCTTCGGTGTTATTATCACCATTCCTCAAGAACATATCAATTTAGAACCCCGCGTGCATTAATTACAGACGCTCGTAAAAACAGTTTTGGGGTTAGATCGCGTAAGTACAAGCGGCCTGGAAGCGTATTATTAATTCATCTTACGATTACAATTCTTCATAGAGGAAACATACTAATTAACTGATTACTCATCTATTATATAATTGCAATACCCCCCCCCCCCCCCCCCCGCTCCGCCTCTGGTCTCTGCACCTGATTGGGTTCAGTGGTGACGTTGTCCTGCCTTATTTAAGATCGGAAGCAGGTGGATTGCTTCACTATTCCTTCAAATTGCCCGATGATGTTGGATGTAATTACCAGCGAAACGTCGCACTCAGATCGTAAACGTTGTGGATTTACTCTGCAACACATCGGTTGGCTGAAATAATAACTAATTGGCGTTTTGTTTACCTGACAAATCCCTTGCTAATTGGTTGTGTGGGGTGGTAGAGGACTACGACGCATTTATACTTACACGATCTAACCTTAAAGCCTATATTATGAATCATATTGGTCGCGAAAGCCTCCATGTTAAATTAGACGCTGCTGGCACGATTTTTATTTTATGCAGGACTCATTTACACTGCCACATTGCTTCGTTTTACCAAATTCAGTTTTCAAATAAACTCCACGTTCATTTAACCACCTCTATTTCACGAGTGACTTCGCTCCGCTTTCAATAACTAGCCGAGTTCCGCAAACATTCTGTGATGTTTCCCAGCTGTGTGCCTCGAGCGGAGCTCTTCAGGTGCATTGCGACCTTGTGCATGACTTTTTTTCTTAGCTCGTTTACCTCGAACCCAGCTTTGGGGGCTTTCACTCCCGATTCTCGCGTTTTTCACATCAATTCCCACCGCACGTTAGATTGGATTACTAACCGCTACACTACCACTCCCCACACGCAGTGCAACAACAACCACCGCCATTCGCCAAGAAGTGGCGGTTACGTCACCACAGCGTTTGTGCCAGGCCATGTGCACGTTAAGGCCACGTGAAGTGTCGAATGCTCACTGGCGTCTGGCAGGTCACAGTGTACAAAGACAAATATTCCCCCGTATAGCCTTAGCAGACTGTGTCGGGGAGGCCGACCCCCGGCTCCGCGCTCACGTGGGATCCGCTGCTCCCCTCTTCCGTATCCTGGGGAGGGTTACTGCTCACCGACTCCCCCCCCACCGCCGCAGCCCCTCGGGGCATGATTCGTGGCTGGCGCTTAGCCACCTGGGGTCAATTTACACAATCTCTGCGCACACTCACTCACACCCACTCACTCGAAATCCGACGTCACTCCTCTCACCAATCGCGCGCACGGGACTGGGGGTCGGGGGTCAGAGGGGCAGGGACGTCACTCGCACACGCGCCGCCGATTGGGGGGTTGTCTTGGAGATTTATTTAAAGGGTTGTATGAACAATCTCACGGGTACACCGCCCGTTCGCCTCACGCACACGCTAAACACAAGGGCGTATGAGTAATCTCACGTGCCCCTGTACGAGTCCGCCGCCGCTCACCACACGCACACGCTAACCACGAGCTACACGCATGGACGAGCGCAAACACGTGGGTAAATACCAACTCGCGCACAAATGCAGGGTACAACGACGCACACCACCATGCGTCCGTTCCACCCTCGCAGAAACCACACGACAAGGTTCATTGATCACCAACAGTTTATTCTCAGCGAGTCCGAGGCTAGATTACCCGAGTCAGTTTGAGTCAGCAGGGCAGGTCTAACCTATCTCCCGATGGTCTAAGGCCCGATCTGTCCCGCCTCTTTCGAATCACTCTCCTAAGAGAATCTCACAATGACCTCAATATCTCACTCTCGGGTACTCACGGTTCGACTCGTACGGAGCTGCTGGGTCGGATCCTCGCTGCACTTCGACTCGTCACATGGACGTTCGAGTGGCTGGGAAGTCGACGATCCCGAGCGCTGGCTTGTATCTGTCCTACCAATCAGAGGACCGGCCCTGTTTTTCCCGCCGTTCGTGACTCCGTCCCCCCCTACCTGCCTGCTGACCCGTGTTTGTTGTGTTTTCTACCCGCGGTGGCTCAGCAGCCCCGTCGTGACCAAGTCACGGCGCTGCGGTGCACGTTAGCCTCGGGGGAGATCGCCCAATTCCTTGGTCGCAGGAAACTGTGAAGTTTGGTCCCATGAGAGGGCTTCTGGGTGAAAACCTGTCGGCCAGGTGACCTCCCCTCGGGGCTCTATGTGGGTGTGTGTGTGTGTGTTCATATGGGGGCTCTATGTGGGGATGTGTGTGTGTTCATGTGGGGGCTCTATGTGGGGGTGTGTGTGTGTTCATGTGGGGGCTCTATGCGGGTGTGTGTGTGTTCATGTGGGGGCTCTATGTGGGGGTGTGTGTGTGTTCATGTGGGGGCTCTATGTGGGTGTGTGTGTGTTCATGTGGGGGCTCTATGTGTGTGTGTGTGTGTTCATGTGGGGGGGTGGTGAGGGAAGAGCAGCGTCGGCAGGACGGCTTCGCTGCTGCGGCATCACAGTTGCAGGCACGGCTCCGACGGAGCGGCTTCGCTGCTGTGACACCACAACTGTAGGGGCAAGTTCTGTTAGCGAGCCCCTATGAAGGCCGGAACGGTACACGAGGGGGTGGGTGGTCAGCACCACACCCGACTGCCTTTGTCTCCCTAGTGGCAATGTTTACACACCGCACCAGGTACTCATTCGACCTAGGGGAGGCCAGGACCGGGAATCGAACCCGGGTCACCAGTCGTGGTTTAGTGGTAAATTTTTGAAAGTGCACACACACGCGTGTACACACGTCTACACACGTCTACACAGTGCACACAAACACACGTGTACACACAAAGTGCACACGCACACACACAGTGTACACACACAGTGTACACACATGCAGTGTACACACACGCAGTGTACACACACACAAAGATCCCCCATATAGCCTTAACAGACTGTAGGGGCAAGTGCTGTTAGCGAGCACCTATGAAGGCCGGAACGGTACACGAGGGGGTGGGTGGCCAGCACCACGCTTGACCGCCTTTGTCTCCCTAGTGGCAATGTTTACACACCGCTCCAGGTACTCATTTGAGGCTGAGTCGACCTAGGGGAGGCCCGGGACCGGTTCAGATAATCGTCACTGGTGTTGGCCGTGAGCGGGAATCGAACCCGGGTGGCCAGGTTCATAGCGCAGCGTAGCGCTAACCGCTACACTACCGCTCCCCACACGCACGCACGCAGTGTACACGCACGCACACACACGCAGTGTACACACACACAGTGTACACACACACAGTGTACACACACACGCAGTGTACACACACAGTGTACACACACACACAGTGTACACACACACAGTGTACACACACAGTGTACACACACACACAGTGTACACACACAAGTGTACACACACACAGTGTACACACACACAGTCTACACACACACACAGTGTACACACACAGTGTACACACACACACAGTGTACACACACACAGTGTACACACACAGTGTACACACACACACACACGTGTACACACAGTGTACACACACAGTGTACACACACAGTGTACACACACAGTGTACACACATACACACAGTGCACACACACACAGTGTACACACACAGTGCACACACACACAGTGTACACACACAGTGTACACACACACACACACAGTGTACACACACAGTGTACACACACACACACAGTGTACACACACACAGTGTACACACACAGTGTACACACACAGTGTACACACACACACAGTGTACACACACAGTGTACACACACACGTGTACACACAGTGTACACACACAGTGTACACACACACAGTGTACACACACAGTGTACACACACACAGTGTACACACACAGTGTACACACACACAGTGTACACACACAGTGTACACACACACAGTGTACACACACACACAGTGTACACACACACGTGTACACACACGTGTACACACACACAGTGTACACACAGTGTACACACACGTGTACACACACACAGTGTACACACAGTGTACACACACACAGTGTACACACACACACACACAGTGTACACACAGTGTACACACAGTGTACACACAGTGTACACACAGTCTACACACAGTCTACACACAGTCTACACACGCGCACGCGCCGTAGAATTTTCCGTGGCGCGAGGCGGCGGCCATGGACGCGGAGCCGGCGGCTCTGCCCAGCAGGGAGGCGGCGATCTTCGGCCAAATCCTCGTGAGGCTCCCTCACACCCCCTCATCAAACCCTCCTCACCCTCATCAAACCCTCTTCACCCTCACACCTCCTCATCAAACCCTAACCTCACACCCCCTCATCAAACCCTCCTCACCCTCACATCCCCTCATCAAACCCTAACCTCACACCCCCTCATCAAACCCTCCTCACCCTCACACCCCCTCATCAAACCCTCCTCACCCTCACATCCCCTCATCAAACCCTCGTCACCCTCACACCCCCTCATCAAACCCTCCTCACCCCCTCATCAAACCCTGCTCACCCTCACACCTCCTCATCAAACCCTCCTCACCCTCACACCCCCTCATCAAACCCTGCTCACACCCCCTCATCAAACCCTCCTCACCCTCACACCCCCTCATCAAACCCTCCTCACCCTCACACCCCCTCATCAAACCCTCCTCACCCTCATCAAACCCTCCTCACCCTCATCAAACCCTCCTCACACCCCCTCATCGTCTTTCATAATCCCCCACCTCACTGCCGGTCTCGCGTTGCCTGTGTCCTCTCATAGAGCCGCGCTCTCTCCTCTCCCTCGTCATCCCTCAGTCGGCTCTCCTCTTCGTGCCTGATCTGTCCCTACGCACCCTTCATCTCACCTCGTCTCTGCTCATCTCTCTTCTATGACGCTAAGCTCTCTCCTCCTCCTCCTCGTCTCTCCCTCCGCCTCTCGTCTGCGTGCATGGTCACAGTTCGCGTGACGGTGTCGGCTGATGTGTGTGATGGTACAGGCTGGAATGTGATGGTGGCAGGCTAGTGTGAACAGGTCGTGGGCATCCCCTAGGTCGACTCAGACTTAAATGAGTTCCTCGTGCTGTCTGTAAACAGCACTGAGGAGACAAAGGCGGTCGGGCGTGCCACCTCCCCCACCCTCGTGTTACCGTAACGGCCTTCATCGGTAATCACACAAAGAGCACTTATCACAGCTGTGTTTTAAAGGCTACCCTGGGGATTTGTGTCTATTTTTGTAAATGGTAGCAAGTGATGTGTGTGTACACATTATGTGAACAAGGGCAGCGTGGCTTGCTGAAGGCCTGGAGCATAGACGTTGGGGCATAGAGGTAGAGTACAACAATGACGTTCGCTTGCACTGCCCAGCGCTGACAAACCTTGCCCAGGAAATCCGAGAATTCGCACCGCAGCTTCTCTCAGATGCGTTTAGTACCGTGTCCTGACAAGGGTCTGTGGAGAACACGGATATCACGTGTGGGGTGGTTACTGCAGACACTTATATGTAAAAGTTATATTTAAAAATATATTTTTAATGATAGACTACAGTGAGGGAAAAAAAAGTATTTGTTCCCCTGCTGATTTTGTACGTTTGCCCACTGACAAAGAAATGATCAGTCTATAAATTTAATGGTAGGTTTATTTGAACAGTGAGAGACAGAATAACAACAAAAACATCCAGAAAAACGCGTCAAAAATGTTATTAATTGATTTGCATTTTAATGAGGGAAATAAGTATTTGACCCCTCTGCAAAACATCACTTAGTACTTGCTGGCAAACCCCTTGTTGGCAATCACAGAGGTCAGACGTTTCTTGTAGTTGGCCACCAGGTTTGCACACATCTCAGGAGGGATTTTGTCCCACTCATCTTTGCAGATCTTCTCCAAGTCATTAAGGTTTCGAGGCTGACGTTTGGCAACTCGAACCTTCAGCTCCCTCCACAGATTTTCTATGGGATTGAGGTCTGGAGACTGGCTAGGCCACTCCAGGACCTTAATGTGCTTCTTCTTGAGCCACTCCTTTATTGCCTTGGCCGGGTGTTTTGGGTCATTGTCATGCTGGAATACCCATCCATGACCCATTTTCAATGCCCTGGCTGAGGGAAGGAGGTTCTTACCCAAGATTTGATGGTACATGCCCCGTCCATCGTCCCTTTGATGCGGTGAAGTTGTCCTGTCCCCTTAGCAGAAAAACACCCCCAAAGCATAATGTTTCCACCTCCATGTTTGACGGTGGGGATGGTGTTCTTGGGGTCATAGGCAGTATTCCTCCTCCTCCAAACACGGCGAGTTGAGTTGATGCCAAAGAGCTCCATTTTGGTCTCGTCTGACCACAACACTTTCACCCAGTTGTCCTCTGAATCATTCAGATGTTCATTGGAAAACTTCAGACGGTCATGTATATGTGCTTTCTTGAGCAGGGGGAGCTTGCGGGCACTGCAGGATATCAGTCCTTCACGGCGTAGTGTGTTACCAAATGTGTTCTTGGTACTATGGTCCCAGCTGCCTTGAGATCATTGACAAGATCCTCCCGTGTAGTTCTGGGTTGATTCCTCACCGTTCTCATGATCATTGCAACTCCACGAGGTGAGATCTTGCATGGAGCCCCAGACCGAGGGATATTAACAGTTCTTTTCTGTTTCTTCCATTTGCGAATAATCACACCAACTGTTGTCACCTTCTCACCAAGCTGCTTGGCAATGGACTTGTAGCCCATTCCAGCCTTGTGTAGGTCTACAATCTTGTCCCTGATATCCTTGGAGAGCTCTTTGGTCTTGGCCATGGTGGATAGTTTGGAATCTTGATTGATTGCTTGCTTCTGTGGACAGGTGTCTTTTATACAGGTAACAAGCTGAGATTAGGAGCACTCCCTTTCAGAGTATGCTCCTAATCTCAGACACCTGGGAGCCAGAAATCTTTCTGATTGAGAGGGGGTCAAATACTTATTTCCCTCATTAAAATGCAAATCAATTAATAACATTTTTGACATGCGTTTTTCTGGATGTTTTTGTTATTCTGTCTCTCACTGTTCAAATAAACCTACCATTAAAATTATAGACTGATCATTTCTTTGTCAGTGGGCACACGTACAAAATCAGCAGGGGATCAAATACTGTTTTCTTTCACTGTATAGTACTGTATTGTCATCAGTAAGACATAAGTATACGCAGTTTGCAGTCCATATCACATTGGGAAGTGGGTTAAAATTGAGTTACAAGATTTGAGGATACGACAACAACAGAGTGAGTTAATATAAAGCGTTTAATAATAATAAAAGAGTGTTACCCCTGGCACCCCACCACTGCAAGGGCAGCAGGCAATGGAGGTAAGGTTTTCTATTTCCGTACGGCTTATGTAGATGCAGAGCAACAACAACAATTTCACATTCAGGTGGTCAAGCCCAGATAACGGCGTCAGGAGCAGAGGAGAGTATTGCTGTGACGATGTCTCCCTCAAATTTGTGTATCGGGTATTGCGTCGTTAATAGTTGTACGAGCTTGTTTGCCCGTCCTAATATTTACGAAAAAAATATTGAGCAGAGTATAATTGTATCTTGTGTAAATTATATGGCAGTGAATCTTGCACGAAAGTATGTCATCAAACACTTCACTGAATTTCACTGTAGCACTGTATATAACTGACTTTCAATTTCTTCAAATTCACTTCTCTGATACTTTATTCTCTTCTGCTTTCGGTCGCTTCAGTTGAAATAAATAGAAATTCGATACGATATCTGGAAAATCACCGAGAGATGTCTATTTTACCATAATGTAGAAGCATTCATTAGGCTTTCCTTTTGTCTCAAGTGCTGAAGAGATAAATAAAGACACCAAATCCACTTTGTTGCTGCGTAGAATTATTAATTAGATTCACTTTTTCTTCTTTGGTTCTTTCGGTAAAGTCACATAGAATGAGAATAAAATAATAAATTGATAAAATAAAATAACACAATCGAAATTTAGATTCACTTTCAATAAAGAAACGTCAAACTTAAAGCGAATTTGCGAAAAAAATTATATCCACTCGCCCTTCTGCGTGAGTGTAAAAATCCACCCACTCATGAATATTCATGATGGGGGGGGGTGCGGCATGTGGAGTGACGTCACGCGCGTTACACACAGACATTCTTGGCTCATAGTAGTAATGTTTTGGATGGCCATCCCGATGAGTGGGGCAGGGAATGGCTTCCGGGAGGGAAGTCCCCAGGACGAACAAAGAAGAGCAGAAGGAGGAGTACTGGGCAGGAAGTGGAGGAAAAGGGGGAGACGGAATGACAGTGCCAAGATGTCAGAGATGAGAGGATGATGAGAGGGAAAAGAGAGAAGGCAGGAGTGATCAAAGTGAGCTGAATGATGCACAGAGGTTGGGGAGAGGGAAGATTCAGAGTCGGCGTGGCCACACAAGTCACGTGCTGTCCAGAAGCCTTGATATGAGTTAGAAATACAGTATAGAAGTGTGTTTCATTGATAACATCCGTCACTGTGGTGGATCATGTTTCATTGGCATCACAGCACTCACGGCTCACGGTCTTTGTGTCTCCCTGTTCGCATCTCCTTATCCACATCTCGCTCTCTGCGTCTCCCTCACTGTGTCTTCCTCTCCGTGTCTCGCAGAAATGCTACGAGAAGACCCAGTACAGGCTTGGTCTTAAGTTCTGCAACCAGATCCTGGCGAAGCCACAGCTCGCTGAGCACGGAGGTGACCTGGGTTCTACAATGGCGATCCACACAGCTTTAACATTGAAAATCATCGTAACATGTGGAGAGATTTTTTTTTTACCTAATCGGCAAACTTGCTGGGAAAATACAATGAATGAAGCGTTTGTTAGTTTTGTTCGTACAATCAATGTTTCACAGTAAAATTATGTTTTAAGGGGTTGACTGCAGTGTTTCCTGTGACAGCATAATTTAAGTTGGGGTTGATGTGTATGATAGATGCTGGAAATGTTTATAGATGTGTGTATATCCGTATCTCTGTGTGTCTCTGTCTATCCGAGAAACTGAAGAGACAGACGCACGGAGAAGCACAGAGATATGGTGATACAGACACGCAAGGACAAAGATTTTTCGTATAACCTTAACATATACTGTTTGGGCAAGTGCTGTTAGTAAGCACTTATGTCGACTGTCAAGGCGCACTAAGGGGGTGGGTGGCCAGCACCCCATGCATCATCGATCGGCTGAAAACATCCTGAAATAAAAAGCAAATGTAGCAGCAGGAACCTTCTGAAAACCAGAGCTGTCTCTAGGGTATGGCGAATTTGGGGAGACCGCGCTGGGCTACATGCTTTTGGGGGGGCGGGGGGGGTGGTGCTTTGACATCACGGCCTCAGATGTCATACTTCCGGTTGAGTTTGAAGGTGTGGGGGGGGGCCCACATGGTGTGATTTTCGCAGGGAGCCGCACCCCTCTATGTATGCTGATGAGTTTCAGTTGTACCCACGTCCCTTGCAGAGACGCTGGCTCTCAAAGCGCTGGCGCTCAGCAAGCTGGGCCGGCGTGACGAGGCTCGCGAGTGCGTCCGCCGGGGCCTCCGCAACAACCTGGAGAGTCATGTGTGTATCCTCCGCATGCAGCGTGACCCTGGCGTCGAGTCACCGCCACCCAGCGCTGGCCGGCATCAACGGCCCGTACGCTGCTGCCACCCTGCGAGGCCGCGTCGTACCGAAGTCGCGAAAGGCCCGCCGTGATCGCCCACGGCTCTTCCTCTTAACTCATCTGGCTGATCGTCCAATACCATTGGCTGTGAGGCAGGAGCTATGGGTTGAGCCTGTTCGCTGCACGTGCCTTGGTGTTACGACTGTGCCACTGATTTACCATGTCACCATGTTACTGTGTGTCTCTGGCTGGACAGTTCATATTGTATGCACACTTTAGTGTCACTGTGTCACTCACCATATCATTGTGTGTCTGATTGTACAGTTCGTATTGTATGCGCACCTTAGTGTCACCACTGTGTTACCACTGTGTCACCACATCAGCGCGTCTCTCTGGCAGCATGTGTCATGTCGCTACGTGTCTCTGCGCTGAACATGTTCCCTTGGACCCCTCGGCATTGCTCTGCCGGCGCGCGCCATGTGTCCATCTCCGTCCGTGACCAAACCCCACCTTCGGCTGATGCCCCCTTAGCGGCATGTCCCGGCAGGCTGGCGCGTATATGGCTCACTGCAGCGTGCCGACGGGCACTACGTGGAGGCGGCTGCCTGCGTACGAAGGGCGCTGGGCGGGTGTGGCCAGGAGGGCGAAACGCGGCTCCTCGAGGAGCTCGCCACCCTGCAGCTGCTCGCCTCCGACCTGGCCGGGTTCAGGGTGAGCGCTGCTCTTTCCCATGGCTCGTGGTCCGAATGTTGTCGTTGCAGCGGTGGGTGTTGTAAGTTGGCCAGGCGGTTAAGGGCTTGAAGGACTGAGCTAGTGTCACTGAGAGCCTGTGTTCAAATCTGGGGGTTCTTCTGGGGGTTCAGCCATCTGTGATTAATAATAATAATTTTGCACTTTTGGTGTTTGTACCTTTCTTATAGCAGAGGGCTATCACGAAGGCATTGTTTCACAAACGCAGTCAGCAATATTTTTGCAGGAGGTGGCGATGCTGCAGCTTCTGCTGCTCTGTCTAATCCTAGCGTAGTAATTTGCAGTGTAGTTTTTAAACATCTATATAAATAAAGCAGCCTTTGCATGTGCAAGGAGGGGTGGTGGGTGCAGGTTGCTGTGGAGATGGAATCTGCCTTAATATCCCGCAATCACAAATCACTATTTAATTCCATCAAAAAAATAACTTGCAGCGCCTCACCTATCACCACCCTTAAGGGAAATAATGGTCATCCGATCTCCGACCCCCAGGAACAGGTCTGCAAGTTTGCAGACTATTTTTGTAAGGTCTTGGGGGAGAGGAATTCCGCTTAGCCCAGACAACATAATGGAGCTAGGTGGGGATGACCCTGCTAGGGCTGCCAAGTCTCAAATATTGTCAGAAATAGCCACCCCTTCTGAATGGTTGGCAGATGTGCCATCTGTGAAGGTAGTGCGAGGGGCGATTCGGAGTCTGAGACGATCTCCCAAGCGAAATGCTGAAGGAGGGTGGCATCTGTGTGTAGACTGCCCTACATGACTTCATCACAACTATCTGGACCACAGTACGGGTTCCGCAGAATTGGAAGGAGATTGTAACAACTATAGGGGGATCTCTCTTCTTAGTGTACTGGGAAAGGTCCTGGCAAAGATTATTCAACATTGCCTTGCCAAGCACGCTAAGGAGAGGCTTGCGGAGCCCCAATGTGCTTTCAGACCAGGGCGGTCCTGCACGGATACCATATTCTCTGTATGTCTGCTACAGAAGAGGTATCGGGAATTCCAGCAAGACCTACATCTCTGCTTTATTGACCTGGTCAAGGCCTATGATACCATCAACAGGCTAATGCTGTGGGCAGTTCTTTGTACTTTTGGAGTCCCTGACTCTCTGCTCACAATCATTAAGGGCCTTCATGATGGTGGGCAGGCCCGGGTAAAGCTACGTGGCCAGGAGTCGGAGCCATTCCCCGTTCACCTTGGGGTGCGACAACGATGTCCTCTGGCTCCCACATTATTTAACATCATCTTTGACCACGTAGTTCGAGAAGCTTTCCATGGCTGTACCGGAGGAATATCCATCTGGTACAGATACAATGGGAGGCTGATCGATGCCTGGATGCGGTCAAGGGATGGCTCCCTGTTGGTCAACCATGTTATGTATGCTGATGATCTGGTGATTGATGCTCACTCAGAGGAGGAGTTGGAGGTGCTGCTGTGCACCTTGGAGTGTGCCACCAAGAGGTGGGGTCTTACCATCAGTCCCACCAAAACTAAGAACCTGCCTAGGTATTTTGTGCCATCAAACACTCCACCCCCTTAGTTGCCCATTGGTGATGGAGCATTGTGAAGAGAGTGGAGAGTTTCCCATACCTGGGCAGTGTGCTTATGACCAGTTTTGGTTTGACAGCAGAGGTCTCACTCCAAATCAGTCGGGCGGCATTATCTTTTCATCGGCTGCGTAATGCTGTGTGGAAGCTACCTGGTCTGTCACTCCGAATGAAGCTTCAGGTCTTCTAGGCCACAGTCATGCCCTCTCTTCCCTATGCTTGTGTAGTGGGTTCAACTGAGTCGTAGATGTAAACATTGGAGGCAGCGCATGTATTTAGTTCCAACACACGGGGTACACTTCCCCTTAACACAATAACAACCTTGGGTGGTGGCCACCCGGCTAAGTAAACTAGTTACCACTTAACTGTTACTACGGACCCGGAACCAACAGCATCTGCCCGGGTACACGTGCTGGAAGACTCTCAAGACTCGGCTTATATTCTCTGCGGCGTGGCCGGTTTCGCCCTTGGCCACGTCCCCCTTCCAGAACCATCGGGAAGGACCTGGGTCCCAATTACGTGACCCCCCTAGCCCCCTCTTGGGGGCCTCCCTGTCATCTTAACCGGTCACGTGTCCTCCCGGGTCAACCAGAATGCCATGGCCTCACGCGACTTTCGGCTTAGGTCGGCACCCACACACCGTGTCCTGTAGGGCCGGCACTGCATTTACAGCATGGTGACATCCAGCGATGTCACTACACTTGTGTAGTCAACGACATCCGAGACACGTCGTGTAGAAGGCTTCATATTTATTCTCACACTTTAAGCATTACACTGGGCATCTATGTAACGTTTCGACGTAGCTACACATAGCCGACCCTTCTACACAACCCCATCATCAGCATCTAACTACACAGCTGTCTGACGAGCGCAGCGACGGCGATGATGAGAGCCTTGCAAAAGATGGGCCACGTGGCCGGACGACGAAGAGAGATTACGGCGAGCAGCAACGCAACCAGGACCCAGGACCTCTGGTTCGGTCTCTCTTGTATACACCCTGGCGCGGCCAAGCCCCTCCTCCGCCCACGCCCCCTTCCATAACCTTTGAGCTGGTTCCCGGAGCTTCCCGACTGACTCCGCCTTTCACCTTTACCCCAGATACACCTCCCTCATAATAAGACATTACTTAACTTGCCCATAACCGCGATTACCCCTTCAGACCAACAGGTCATTAGACTTGTGAAACGTGGATCCCTCTGGTGGAACATCTGCACCAGTTAGAAACATTCAGGCTGGCCTGCCTACAATCCTTCCTGGGTTTAACCAGGCTGGATTGTGTGAGGAGCTCACAAATCCTTGAAAGATCGGGACACATTCCCGTGAGTGAGCTCCTCCAGCAGGCAAGGCTGCGTTGGCTGGGTCATGTAGCCCGTATGCCCAGCCACTGCATACCGAAGGAGCTTCTATTTGGTTGCATAGAGGAGGCTAAATGGGCATGACATGGCCTGGAGAAGAGATGGACTGATGCGGTATGGGAGGATGTGGAGCTGAGTTGACTTGCCGAAGACTGGTACCAGTGGTGTCAAGATCGGCCTTTGTGGAGGAGGCTCGTGAACGATGCTACTGGGCAGTTGGAGGCAGCCACTCTCCAACAACAACTGAGGGCAGAGGAGTGACGCTCACAACAACGAAAAGCAGCCAGTTGGCACAGTAGCTGGTGCATCTACCAGTCATCTCAGTCAGCCAACCCTGGGTCTGTCCTATCAGCAAGCCTTCGACACTTCACGTGGCCTCAAATTGCACATAGCCTGGCATAGACGCCGTGGTGACATCACTGTCACTTGGTAGCGAATGGCGGGTATTTCTATTGGAACCAAATTGCGCCAACACCATGAAATCTACACACCCAAATGCTCCATGTGTAATGACGGGTCAGTTAGTGTGTCTTTCGGCATATATTTAGCTTACCTGCTCACCTTAAACACCTCCAAAGACCTGCACACTCTGTCTTTGATCCGCTGCGTGGCCTCTGTCGCCCCACCTCTCGCCGCCCCTCCACCTCTCGCCGCCCCTCCACCTCTCGCCGCCCCTCCCCCCCACTGCTCGTCCCCCCCACCACTCTCTCGCCATTCCACACACTCACAATATCATAAGTATCTGCACTGTACTGTTATTTTTTTCTGCAATTTAATATGTTATCTATCCTTATCAGCCCTGCATCATTCCCGCCAAATTCATCCACTTTACCACGTTCACCTGCAATCCTTCCTGGGAGGAAGTGTCTCATGAAGTCATAGAAGGCCAAAACCACATTACCACCATGATTTACTGGCCAGAATATTCAGACAAAAAATACAGTTTTGATGAATGCCATCAACAAGGCAAATATTTTTTGGCACAACCCGATGCTACATGTACACAATTGAGTGGCTAAAGCATGGCCTTCCACTTGCATATATTATGCTGTGGCTTCAAGATCAACTTAAGGTGCGCTGAACTTCCAGACCCACACGTTGATCCTCTTCTTCACAACACTTTCAAAACACACATGGTGCATTGTCCCTGTGGAGCCATCAATCCCAAATCACCATGCATGAAAGGCTGCACAAGATGGATACCCACTGTATCGTCGCAGAACACCCGAATATGGCGGCTTTACAACTTTCAGAGTTCGTGATTCTCACTTTTAAATTAACAACAGGTGGATTATTCCATACTGTCCACTTCTCTCACACCTCTTCAATGCACACATCAATGTTTAGTACTGCCACTCTGTCATATTCATAAAATATGTGTGCGAGTATGTCAACAAAGGATCTGACAATGCTATATTTGGCCTCACAATAGATGGCGCAGTGCATGATTGAGGTTCAAGAATGAATTGGGCAGATACATCAGCACCAATGAAGCCATTTGGAGAATCCTCAACTTCTCCATTCACAAGCGATGCACCTTGAGAATTACCCTCAAATCAAAGCCAGTTATGCACTTGGCTGTGTTTAGACGATACATCCCAACACATTTGAATGCTTTCACCTCTGACTGCTTTTATTTGAGGCCAAAAGTCCTAAGTTATTTGAAGACCTGTGAACAGTTGATGGCACTACCTGCGATAATTACCAACACGCTTGCCAACTCCGAGGTCTGCTAGAGGATGTTGCGCAGTGGAAGAGTATTTTGGACGAGGCAGCTGCAACTCAGTCGGCAGAAATGATGTAAAACCTGTTTGCCATCATGCTGCACATATGTGCCATGTCTAATCCTGTGCAACTATGGCACAACCACAAGGAGAACCTGGCAGAGGATATTCTGCACCAGGCACAAGTGCTAAATCCAAACCTGTTACAGCATTACAATGATACCATCTTCAATCAGGCTCTCATCATTGCAGACAAGATTCATGCTTTAGGTGGCTCTGGCGTCGAAACTTTCCCCTTTCCTGAACCAGGACGAAACACTGATAATGGCATGCCCCAT